GCCATGAAGGGACTTACAAACCTAACTACTACACCGAGTTGCAGAATCCTTTATTTGGACAGCAGTGAGACCCTCAGCATTTCTCCTCAGCCCACTCCTGCCTCTGCAAGCGCACTGAGCCCACTGAGCCCTCTAACACCCCAGTCCCTGCTATAGGCGTGTGAAAATGGCGTGACCCCGGTCGCCAGCAGACTCAGTACCCCCATTAATGCCAAAGCTCTGTGGGATTCCTGAAGTAGATGTTCCTGCACTGGTCTAGACTGTCACTGCTTCCCAGACTCAGTTCTCCTCAGGTGAGAGAGAGTGACTCCTGAAGGACGAGGTTAGGTTAGGCACGTGGATCCAAACCAATGTCCCTGCTCCAGCGGACATGTATGAGCAGCCAACAATTTCCCAGAGACCCTTGGAATCAAACTATTAAACTATCCAACTGCAGCTCTTCTGAACCTGACACACCCAGATGCTTTTTTCCACTCGTTTATTAATTTTTGCTTCTGAAGGCAGCGAAATTGAAGTGAGGCAAGGTGAAGACCTTCATCTGATTGTGCAGGAAACACATTAGTGAAAACAAGCAATTTTTCTCCTTCAAGCTGCATTTACGAATACACTGGTGGTACCTTATCTAGAACTGCTGACTCTTACAAAAGAAATGTTTTGGAAGGGATGACACATTTTGTCTCATATAAGGTTCCTCAGTGCTCATCAGTAAAATACTATTCTTCAATACCAATGAATAATCAAAGACCTTCTTTTCACATTGTTAAGACTATTAAGTGTGAGTACAATACTAAGTTTAAACATGTAATATAACAGGTAACAAATGTAGATTGTGGCTCACTGACTAGTTCAGAAACTCTTTTTTGTCTGCTGGATTTAAACTTTCTGGTGAAATCAGTGAGGAGTGTACTCAGCACATCCTGTTAGCTGAGTCAATTGAAATTGCACCTGTTCTTGGATGCAAGTCATAACAAATGTAACCCATATACATTGTAAAGAAAAGGACTTGCATGCACTTTTTCCAATTAACATCTGCCTTTTGGCAAGTCATTAACCTATTTTCTCACAAAGAAACGGCTTCAATTGTATTATGCATCTGAAGCATGCAAAAGTCCCTGAGGGGGCACTCTGACAAAAACATACTGTTCCTGGATCCAATGTGAACATACATATTCATTAATTGTTTGGGGCAAAGAGTACAGAATTTCTGATTTTTACAAGTCTTACAAGGTAAACAGGTTACATAAAGCTACGTCCTTGGAAATACATTTACATCCCAGCTACCGTCGTTCAGTAGAAAACTCAAGGGTGGTTTTGTGCTGTGATATGGCAATGAAAATAATACAGCAACATGGTAATAAGACTTTTAGGAAGAAAAAAATCCTGTTTGCCCTAAGAATAGTACAGAATATTTATTTATGTAAATAAATAAAGGTGGGAAGTTCTATTTCTCAAATCACTCATGCTGCAGGGATCTGTTCAGGCCATTCTAAAATGGTGAGGAAAACCCATTCTATCACAATTTCTCCAGCTAGAAGATTAGTTTAATTAAAATTTAAAACTACAGTTTAAGTTTCTCACCATAAAGATAATGAAACAACGAATCTTACACCCCCAAAGACAAGGGAGTTGTTTAGATACATTCACTTTCAGGAACCATAAGATTATAAAAAATATGTCAGAGGTAGTGAAAAGTAAATACTTAAGATTTTTGGAGAATGTAGTGGTGCATTAAAAAAAAAAAAAATCAAAACCACAAAACCCAACCAAAAATGAAAGAATCTCCAAAAAATATAGAAAAAACACAGAATACAGTTTGAGTTGTCAGGTTGGTCCATAAAGCACAATGGATTATTGGCACAAACTGATGTCCCAGTCTGATTTTACCCTGGTATTTGAAAACCTCTATGTTCAGATCAAAAGAAAAAGTGAAGTGCCTTAAGGTCCAATGTTGCAACATTTAGCCGTTCGGCATCTGGCCCCCCAGGTGATAATTAGGAACCTCTAAACGTGCTCCCAAAGGAAGTACATATTGCCATCCAAAATGAAAAACCAAGAAAAATACCTTTATTACCTCAACATCATGCTTTATGTAATGCCCTAGATAAAAAATCTATTAAAATTCCACTGAATTTTGATGGGACTTTAAGCAGAGGCCTTAGTTTTCTTTTTCTTATAGAAAAAATAGGAAGCGTTTTTGTTTCAAAATGTCTGCAGAAGCACTTACGATGAGTTGCTGAGCTACTGCATAATGCTTTAACGCTTCAGGAATTTGAAGTTGGGTTCCTCCAGAGAGTCTCCCAGTGACGCCAGCAGGAGAGGTTATTCCTGATGCCACCTTCTCTCTCTCCCCCACAAACCTTGGGCATCTACTGGATGCCACTCAGACATTGGTGTTTGGGGTTTTTTTTAATAAATAATTGAGCCATTTTTGCAGTAGCTGACCTGGATGCTGGAAGCAGTCTTCCTCCAGCAGGGTGGCCTATTTACATTTACTATCAGAGGGATAACTCGGCTTGAGGAAAGCTGGACTGCATCAGGTACTTGGTTCAGCTTGTTTAGAACACGTATGAAGTTTCAGTACTTCACTGCAGTCTGCAATACAGACACACTTTTCACAATCATTTAAAGACCTGTGCAATTATGTTTTCACGCAGTGCAGAAGCACAACTAAGGCTAAACAGCAGTCATTTTCCTCTAGCTTTATAAGATAATTCAAATGAGTCAAGTTACCAGTTATTTGCTAGAGCACAAATCCTAGAGTAAATGCTTCTGAGAGTTTAACCAGCCTCTTCAGGAAGTTCTTCTATTCCATTGTTGTATCTGAAATTATGCGGATCAAGAAAATGAGATAACTAGCCCACATCAACGTTCCTTTCAAAGAAACCTAAAGTTAGCTGGTTGTGGTTGTGTTTTAGGAAGGCCATAACAGCTTGAGGAAAATACCTCCGTCCTGCTCTCAACCAACTATCTCTAGTTATGCAGACATCCCAAGTGTCATGCATGTTGAGTTTCAATACCAACAGACCACGTAATCAAATGACAAGAACATATCTCCATTTGGAAACGTTACGTTAGTGCACCAGACTCACAAACAGCAGAGGAATAAACTGGATTAAGTAGTAAGTGCTCTAGATAATACTGAAAAGGAAGAAGGATTAGTGACAGGAGCAAAGAGAGAAAGGAAAATTTCAGCAGAGATTTTATTAAAAAATACAGAAGTAAAAGAAATTTCAAAATTTTGTTGATAATCCTGAAAAGCTTAAAAAAAAATTTACAGATCTAAAACATATATATACAATCCACTCAGAGAAAACAAGAAACAAGCAACAGATTTTAATAGCTACATGATTTTGTGTCTTCTAATGGAGCCAAGAAAAGGCAAAGACCACAAGAATATTTGCAAACACATAAAGCAAAGTACATCTGACCTAAAACACAGTATTTACATAACTATGTGCTATATAGCATTATAAACAATTGCATAATCAAAGGTCAGACTGTTTACATTGGAATATGTAAGACCATCCTTTCATAAAAAACCTGCGGCTAGGATGTTGCATAGAAATAGGTCCATCTAAAAGTTGTATAAGAGACTGCTTCTTCGCAATAAACAGTACTACTAAAGACTATGTTGAAAATATGTAGTCCTTGTTGGCAAAATTCAGAGTTTACCAAGCAAGTGAAGTGATGTCTGGCTATCTGAAGGTGATTATTGTGAGAAAAGACGAAAAGTTATAAAAGAAAAATTGACTGCTCATTGCTTTGGCTCAAACTGCAACAGCACGTACACACTGAGCTTCTCTACTTAAGCTGATGTCTATTGATGTTAACGAGGTTCAGCCTAGGAAATGGGCTTTATCTATATACAGTCAGTGGCAGAATTGGATTAAAATGCTCCCCCCATTTCCAGTGTCCTATTTTTCAACATACAAAACATGAAGTTGCAGAAATGGATGACTACCTGGTTTTGATTGTGAATTTAAAAAAGGTGTTGTGCAATTGCCATTTAAAAAAATTATAGGTAGACATAAGGAAGCACAGATGTTTTCTATTAGAAAACAAAATCTTCAATCGTCTTTCTAAAAATTGCATTTTTATTAAAAAAAAACCCAAATTAATCATACATTACAAAGTCCTGATTTATGGCTTCATTCATAACGCATTAGCTGACGAGGACATTCATAGCATGCAAAGCTTGAGCACCTGTGGAAGTCCCTGGAGAATGAAAATCTTGTATTTATGATACAGATTTCACACCACAAATATATTCATCAGAAGTATGAAGTCAATTTTTATTTTTCTAAATATGAAAAATGAATTTTGATGGGATGAGATAAGCAGAAGTGCCCAACTGCATCAGTCTTGCAGCTGAATTCACACAGATGCAATTATAGTTTCAAAGTTTTAAGTGACTTCATTTTCATATTTGTAACCAAAAGTTTTTATACTACATATTCTTGCAATCATCATTTAGAGGATATAGAGTAACTGTCGCTACTTTTTGGTAAAATATCTGAAATTATGTAAGGGACAAAGAAAACCTCTGGCATTTTTGGAGTTAGGGCTAATTAGGTATTATTTAGTTTAGGTGCTTGAGTAATGTTGCCTTAGCACAGAGCATTTTTTTCACAATCCTCACCTGAGTTAAAAAACCTGCATAGAGTACTTCCATAACAATTGCTATTCATCTAAAAATAAGTAGTTTGTTGCTTAGTCATATTCAAAGATCTTATTAGGTTGAAATAAGAGTCCTGTAATGTTCAATGGGAATGATTTTCGAAAGTGTTGGTTTTGGCTGGGCTACACTTTATTAAATATACAACCAGAATATTTGCTTGCTACCAGTGTTCAAAATGTGTTGCATTTTTTTTCTTCAGTTTTTACTACATTGACTTGTTAGAAAAGGATCTTGTTTGCTTATAGCAAAATCCAATGAAGTAATATTTATTATTTCCTTGCAAATATATGAAACATTCTTCAATACAGCTAGTTTTCCTCTTTTATTCTTCCTGTCTTCCCTGAAGTAACATTTTTTGTTGACTTTCTAAGCATTCTTTCAATTTATCTTCAGTCAAAGTCAGACGTTGTTCCAGGATTGAAATAGTCTGCATGAAGAGGACAGCAATTTCAATTTGTTTGTACATTACTCACACAGTATTATAAAAGTGTGCAACATAGTAACATAAGAAAAATCACTTTAACTCCACAGAAAGAAAATATCCTGAGATGACTTTTCCTTAACTATTCCACTATTTACAGATGTATTTAAAAATAATGGCTTTGTATCTATGGAGATTGTCTAAAAGTTTAAAACTGTTTCCACAAAATATTTCTCTGAGAGAAAAATACATACGTGGATATATAAATTACTCTGAAATAATATGGAAAAGTTGAATCCTTATTTCAATAAAAAAACAGCCATCACTGATGAGCCGGAACGATGTCTTCCAGAAACCTAAAAGAAATTCTAAGGCATCCCCAAAAAACAGGAAATGAGAAAAAATATGCTATCAAAAGGCATTCTCCAAGAGATTACCATCATCAGAAAACGTAGGTTTCTGGCAGTTTCTTTTTAATCCAATTTACTACACAAACAATTTTCAACTGATTACTTGACTTCATACTTCCCAAAACTTACTTCTTGAATTAACATATATATTGCAAAACAATGCAGAAAAAAAACCTTAGCTACTCCCTTTTGATTTGGTTTTACTTTAATATATTACAGACTACGGAATAGAATCTTAAAATATAGATTGGCTAAATCTGGATTACTAAAAAAAAGTATTGACCATTTGCAAAGTGACTCATAATCACTGACTAAGACTAGTATTTGTGCAGTTTCACTTACACTAGGAATTATTCCACTGCTTAGATTGCTACCTAAGCCAACATTTTGAGCACTAAGTTTGAAAAGGGATTTAATGGTACATTGCCAATTTACTTTGTTCATTCCATGCTAATGCATGATTGTTCAAGCTGGAATCCGACCATGTCTGCTAAACAATTGGCTTCTGGCAAATCTATGCTAGATCTCACTACTGAAAAACAGTGACTCCTCCAGAGTTACAAATACAACAATACTCTTTATGATTATGTAGCAGGAAGATTTCACTTTAGCAAACACAATATACGTGATCAATATTTGCTGAAAGGAAAAAACTAAAACAGTCACTTGATTATGCAACTATTCAAAATAATCCCACGGACTTTAATATTTTGATGTATGAACATGGTTCCTGGGGTTTTTTTGTCTATTGACAGCATTATCATTTTCCACTGCAAGCGTTATCTGTTATTGAATACTTACTAGAGTTAAAACATCCAGCTGCTCCACAATGTGCTCCAAAGCATTACTCAGGGAGGGGAAGTTGCCTGTTTGCTTGTCCACATTATGCACAGCTGATTCGCTCTCATTTTCTGACTTCCTTTTTGAACTTGTTGCCAAGACTGAAGCAGGGGGATACTGCAGATCTTCACTGCTGACATGATCCTTCAATACAGAAACACCATTTGAAGATTCAGTTGCCTTTGTCTTCATTTAATTGGAACCATACAAGAAGATAGGCAGAGAAGTCTGGCTTTTAATTTAAAAAAAAAAAAAGCTATATACATATATATGCACACACACAAGGGGCCTTCAGATTTGCTTCTTGTATCAGGTCTAATTCATAACACTTCAATTTGTTCTGACCTAAGAGAGAATTTCAGCTGTGATGGATGAGGCAATAAGAGAAATCTCAGCAGTCTTTATGTACATGTTTCAGGTACACATGATTGAGGAACTACATGCTGTACTACCAGAGCTTGAATTAAAGCTTGAATAAATAACTATTGTTGACTGGTGTTTTCTTCAAAAGGATAGCTCTAGTTCACAAAGGAATTAATTCATAGCAGTCAAAAAAAAAAAAAAAAAAAAATCAATATGTGACTAGATGACCACAAGTGTTCCTTCCAACTTCATAGTATGAAACCTTTGTTTAGTATGAATTAACCTCTTCGTTCAGAATAACAAAAAACACAGAAAAACTAAGTAGTTTTTAGTTTTCTATTCAGGGGCATTACTTTTTGAGAAACCAATTCCTCCAGAAAATGGGAGAAGGAAAAAACAGAGAAGACCCACACAATTAAAACTTAAGAGAGAAATAAGTTTGATGTATAAACGTTGCTCCAGGGTAAGTGAGAGCACATGATCTTCCCAATGACTTCCAGTTTTGTTTGTGCCTTGAAGTTCTTAATGGCACTTTTGAGTCACGAAAGGTTAAATCATCACTAATTCATTAGAAGGTCCTTCATAACAACTTCACCCGATTTATTAATGACTTTTTGAGATTTCTTTGAAAACTTCTTATACCTTCAGATAATTTTAGTTTATTTTTACACTAAAATAAACTGAGGTAGTCAAGTTTTATTATCTCTAATTATATTTCAAATATCTACAACATTTACAAAATAAAACTTTTAAATATTTACAATTTAACTGTTTCTCTGAAATTTATCAACAACTGATGAAAATATCCTTTAGCTATCCAAGGGGAAATTTTAGTCTTACCTGATGTATTTAAAATACCCAACATTTATAATGCACCCAGAAGATATTTACGTGTAAAGCTGAACAGATTTTCAAAAGAAAGTCTTAAAATCATTGCCAGCCATTAAAAAAAAATTCTCCTAAAACAAACTAGAATGTACATTGCTAGGTGGAATTAGTGGCAAACCTTTACAAGATTACCTAGGCACGTTGATGAGTTTCTGTCAAGAATGATTCATGTGTAGCTGACCCTGCTTTTGAATCAGGCAGAGTCAGAGAGTGATGGATGAAATACTACTACTACGACAATGTAACGATTTTAAATATAAGTAATACTAAATCATATCTATACTATCAGGAACTTCTACTGCAGCATTATCCACAATACTATTCTTGTGCCTTCAGGGCCATCCTGCACAGTCCTGACCAACTAACATGTTCTGTTCTCTGGACTCATTGTTTCTGATTGTCCAAACTCGTTTCTTCCCTAAGTGCTGGGGTTGTGCTATCTGTACCAATGAGAGAGAATTAAGCAAGAGACAAGTTGCATCCACCATCTGTCTGGAAGGGCTTTTCTTTTTGCTAGCAAAGCACAAAAGCAAACCAAAAATGCCACACACAGTAGAAGATTGTGGGTCTAGGACGGGGACTAGCTGAAAGCAGAGAATGTGGTGGGGTAAGAGGGTTTCGTATCTCAGGAAGAGAAGGGCAAAGAAGAAACCTCTCTGGGTTAAAAGCTCCATCGTCCAGTTAAGTTCTGCAAGAACAGGTCTCAGCCCCCAGGCAAGAACCCATGAAGTGCAGAGCATGGGGTTGATAGGGAGAGGCGGAGATACTCACGCATATATTTCAGACCTTAACTTACAACGGCACAAAACCACACAGAACCTTTCTCAAGATTTGATAGTACCATGGTATTTGGTGATATGTCACTTTCATTGATTTCATTATGATGAAAGAAACAGATAAATGAACTAGAACATACCTCCAGTTCCCTTTCAGCCCTCTTTTCTGTGCTTGGTGACTGATTTATGCAAATGAACTAAGCATGTCAAGTAATAAAGGTCTGATGCAACTAATACTGAAATTCAGTGATTTGTATTGATACAGGGTTGTGTCAAAAAATAAAAGTGTGCTAGAGATCAGACTACAGATTTGAAACATTAAACATCTGAGGCTGTTCTACAGAATGTCCTAACGGTTACAACATTTGCAGTGGACTACAGAGAGCTGGCTTTCTCAGTCTAAGGCTATTTAAACCCATGGCTCATAGCGCAACGCTTTGTCAGCTAGGCTGTTGCCTTTTAAAGGCATGAAACTGTGGAAGAAAGGATATTCTTTCCAGCCATTCTGTTCGAATTTTGCCACTGGTCAACACAAAGCAGCTTTAGTTCAGTGGTTAGGATGCTCAATCAGAAGCAAGTAAGTCCTACTCCCACGAGAGGCTTTGTATTTTATGTATAAGGTGACAAAATGAATAGAAACTCCACAGAGGAAAGGATTTGAACCCCAAACCTCCCCACACTCCTAACTAGATGGTTTAATTACATCTTTGTCTCCAGTACCATGAATTTCAATTTCTTCTCAATATGAAAAATCTTGTGATGTCAACTTCAAATTATTCCAGAGAAGTGTAAAGTTTGAAGGAGTCACCTGTTAGCACAAAATGAAATAGAATACAAATGGTTTGATTTTTGGACAAGATAGTCGGAAAATGAATTTCCCATTTAATTTTACTTTGCTTTAGCTCCTTTCTTTTAAGTGTTAGAAGTCCTCAGAAGAAAGTGTTCCAAATATGTCAGAATATTCTGGATCACAATGTATCCCATGTACTTTTAGATGAGCATGAAGTATATAGGACCAGTTCATCGTAAGACTGTCCACATCTTCCCTTTGCAGATTTCATTATATGAGACACCATTAATTGAATCTTAGAAAAGCTCAGATTCACTGTGTTATTTCTGACTTAGCAAGTTATATCTGAGAATATCCTTGGGAAACAGGATTAATGGAAGCTTTTTGGCACACACTTACTGCATCACAAGATGGAGATAGTCTCCAATGCTGATTAACATGGAAAAGGTTAAGCTGAATTTGGTATTCAAACGGTAAAGAAAAAATATTGCCGTATATTACAGAATTTCTGCCTTACAACCAATCACACTATGAAGAACATCCTTGTATTTAACTACAGCAAGGGAGTCTGTTAGAATAGACTACTTAGTGAGATTTCTATAGAAAGATAGTGAGATTACAGAAACCTCGCTTCTGTCTGTAAATCTTGACTGCTTGCCCAGAAGCTTCCAAACCTCAACCAGGATTAGCTAAATCTGACAGAGAGTTAGAAGGCTCACTGATTAAGTTGCAACAAATTTCAGGAAAATTGGAAGCAGGGTAGATGGGACACGTTGCAGGAAAGACAGGTAGAACTCAAGCATCATATATTCTGCATGGCAGCAGCAAACCTTTCCAGTTGTCACATGCCTTATGAAATGCAGGCAGCCGATGAGGGAAGGTAAAAGCGTCAGTGAAAAACAGCCAGCTGGTGCAGGAACAATTTGTAAAGCTTATGCAATTATTCTTCGTAGACACCTGTATGTGTCCTCTGAAAATTCTGGCACCTTTTGCTGATTTTAATCAAAGCTATCGAAGAAGTAGGGATCTCAGAAGTAATTAAGCTCCTGAAAGCTTCAGGAAACCATTTGCCAGAGTTTCCCATCTGAGGCTAACGCAGCTCTACAAGTTCACACTCCGTAGCTGCAAAGGGGAGTAAGGATAGGAGATCCCGAAGTGCGAGAGAGACCCAGGCTGGAAACCATGTCTTCCCAGACACCAAGATCAATAAGATCATTAGAAATAAACACAGCACAGTTTGTCTAATGTTAACAAAGCTACTTGTATTGATGTTTTCAGACGAATTAGATAACACAGCCAAAAATGACATAACTGTAAACTTCAGCTGATCCTCTCTGACTTTTGCTTAAAGGCATCATACTGCTTTGCAAGTTCAGCATCCTACAGATAATCTATTAATTCTCAAGTATTTAAAATAATAAAAAATAGATTTAACATTCAATGGCACTAAAACTAAAAATTTGCTGTCTGTGATGTAAAGTATTAAGATTTAAAGTAATGGAGCAGGAGAGGAAAACAATCTGAGGTTATTAGACATTGACAAGTTCTTCTAAAAACGGTTCTACTCTGAGGCTGGTGTTTCTCAGTTTCTTTCCAAACAAGGCCGCTGTATTTCAGACTGAAAATAAAGTAGAGATTTCAGTTTAAGCTCCCACAAAGTGATTACAAATTTTGCTATTAAACCCAACCTAAATAGATTCTTCCAACCCAAGGAGGAAAGCTGTCAATTCCGGTAAACAGAGCAAATGCTATGCTACTGAAATTCTCACCAAACATTTTTTTCTTACAGTAAAATTGATCCAGAATTCAATCTATCACACAAACAGGCTGTGAAAAATGCTTTGTAGCTCAGTAAATTGCCACCAACATTGCCAAGTTAGAGTACTGGAAAAGTCGTCCTGTAATTTTGTGGGTTAAGCAGGAAATTGAAATTCTTCCGTTACATACTCAAAGACATTTAGGGACAATGAGCACAAAAGTGCTTATATAAATAAAGAAAAGGCCTTGATGTTTCTCAAATCTGAAAGGATCAAATACAGATAAGCAAATAATTGAACTTTCAAAATTAGTAAGAGAGAAATGAAATGAGACTGTTTCAAATTTTCATCTTATCTAAGTTGTGCCAAAATGGTTGATATTTTTATCATATTTCAGAAATTTGTAGAGATTTTAAAATGTTGTCAGACATCAAGTATGCTGCTATACCCTTGGGGGGCCTTTTTATATGTTAACCTTTCCTCATATCTAAATTTACAGTCTCCTCCAGTTCAGTGAAGGGTCCAAAATTGCTGAAATCTAATGCAACACTCAAATGTCAAAACCTTGTT